AAACAATCTTATGTAGTTCTGGCTGTCCTGTAAATCACTCTGTAGATGAGGCTGGCTTTGAACTCATAGAGATCCACCTGCCTCTGCCTCCTGAGTACTGGCATTAAAGGCATGGGCCACCACTCTTGGCTGCCTTTGGATCGTTGATGTTAAATGATGGTAACAAGTTGTGATTGCCAGTTCTAGAAGCAGCGTGCTGATTAAGACAACTAAATGTTTAGTAGTATCAGCATCCTGGTTCTCAGGAGTACTATTCACATTCCAAGTTCTGCCCATCATTTCATTGTTTCATGCCTTCTTGATATATAATACCTCCTCCAATTTTATGATTAGAAAGGCATCATAAATATTTTACACAAAAGTCGTAAGACATTTTATATCTATCTATATCTATATCTATATCTATATCTATCTTCTTGAGACATTGAGAAAATTCAAAGCCATTTTGTTCTAATTGTAGAAGTAAAACAAAGGCATTGTACTCTTGTCTCAATATGCATTCAATTGCCTTAATTTAATTTTCTGCAAACACTTACACTCAGCAAATATTTTTTTCTCGGTTCATGTGTGAACTTATTGATTTACTTAACAAATTAATCAGTTGCTTAGCTGATGTGTATTTCCTCTACGTGCATGACGGGAACAGGGCTCTTTCTGTCCGAGTTCTGTTTAATATGTAGAGCCTGAAGCTAGACCCACTTAGAGAGCCGGCAGTGCTCAGTCAGCGTTGGCTGAATGAAAGCATGAATAGTAATAGATACTTCATGCTTTAGAAAAAAAGTAAATGGAAGAAAACAAGCACTAGGAATAAACCCTGTAGCATTTAGCATGTACTTGTGCAGTGTAAATATGCCTGTGGATAGACATGGTGCTTGTACAATAGCACAGTGTTGCACACCTGAACACAATGACCAGACAAGCTGGAATGAGTGAGCCCAGAGCACCCTCAGTGTCTATGGGAAAGGCTATTTTCCCCTAAAACATTTTCAGATCATTAAGATCTCTTGATATTGGCTCTAAAGGTACTGGAAAATTGGAGGGGGAAACTTAATATTTATTTAGTCTGTAAAATTTAAAACATCAGAAGCATCAAGAAGGTAATGGGTTGTTCCTACTTCATAACATCTTACTAGGTTAGTGAATAATGCTTGCCTTCTCACAATGGTGTATCTTATGGGACATCAGGTCTGTTCTTTTCTCTTGGTGACCATTGCCATGCTCTCGAAGTTTGGACCAGCATCTGCTTTTTAGTTTCTTCTGCTGTTCGTAGCAAGAAATAGCTTCTTCATTTTCTTTAATTTATGGTCATTGTCTTATTACTTTCCTCATGTATGTTGATGATCTTGCCTTTGCTAAGTTCCTGTGTATATCCAGAATTCCTCACATGGTGAGTGAAAGCATTGTCAACATTCCACTGGCCTGGATGTCTTCTATATGTTCTTTACCTTTGGTTCAGAGTCTTCTTCTGATAGCACCATATTTGTTTGTGTGCTCCACTTTCATCTTGATTGGCCAGTTCCCTTTTTGGGATTATCTGTGCCAAGTGAATTTATCAGGAAGAGACATGAAGGTGTCATAACCACACACTTTGATGTCTGTGTAGGCGTTGAACCATGAGTGTTCAGTGGCCAGTCCCTGATAGACGAAAGAAATACATTGGTCAGCCGATGATCAAAACTCCCATTTGTTAGTTATGCAGTGATCCACGGGTTGAAGAGCTAGCAGCAAAGTGTATACTTAATAAGTAAGAACATGTAGACATACTATGTTAACTGAAATGTGAACTGTGCTGTTGAGGGCATAGTGTTACTTAACGAGACTGTGGAAGCTGTAATTAATACATGCATGTTGGTATGAGCAAAGTAGAACTGCCTAAACCCTAGGCTTTTTCTTGTAACATACATTTAAAAAAATTATTAAAGTAGGATCAGTTTATGCCCGTGATTGCTCTTTCATTTAATTTTATGTGGTTTACATGCCATGAGCTGGCAATCCTTACTTCATGTTTCATTCAGTGGTATTTAGTGGCAACCCCATACAAGAATACTTTACTTTCATTTCTTTGTGTGTGTGTGGGCGTATGCATTTCTGAACACAGGTGCACATGTATGTGAGGGTACACTCTTTATGTGGATGTGTGTGGAGATGAGAGGCCAACATCAAGTTGCCTTCCTCAACTGCTTCTCTATCTTCTCTTTTTTTCTTTCAAGACAGGGGTTCTCTGCATAGCCTTGGCTGTCCTAAAACTCTCTCTGTAGACCAGGCTGGCCTCGAACTCAGAGATCTGCCTGCCTTTGCCTCACGAGTGCTTGGATTAAAGGCGCGTGCCATCATTGTCTGGCTCTGCTTCTCCATCCTATATTTTTCAGACTTGGTGTCTCACCAAACCTTTCTGTTGGGTAGAGAGGCTAGTCAGCAACCCCCGTCTCCAATATTTGCCCATCTTCACATACCAGCACTGGAGGTACTGATGTTTTTTTTTTTTTTTGTTTTGTTTTGTTTTGTTTTTGTTTTTGTTTTTCAAGACAGGGTTTCTTTGTGTAGCTTTGCGCCTTTCCTGGAACTCACTTGGTAGCCCAGGCTGGCCTTGAACTCACAGAGATCCGCCTGGCTCTGCCTCCCGAGTGCTGGGATTAAAGGCGTGTGCCACCACCGCCCGGCTGGATGTACTGATGTGTACTACCATGCCCAGCTTTTTTTGTAGGTGTTGGAGATCCAAACTCGGTTCCTCATGCTTATGTAGCAAGAACTTGATGTAACTCAAATTTCTGAAGGTCTTTTAATTAAAAAAACCCACAGCCAGATATTGTGGTAAATACTAAAATATCAGAGAGACAAAGGAACAAGCCACTGCCACGTCTCACCTTGTCAGTTCCACAGATCCTCTGTTTGAATGTCTCTGAGTTCTCACCCGAAAGGGGTCCTCTCAGCTGAAAGGCTTCAGCCCTAAGAGCCTAGACAAAAGGCCTCTAGTTCCTGTCTCCTCATGCCTTACATACCTTTATCCGCCCAGCCATTAAAGGCATGTGTGTTTCCTAAGTACTGGGATTAAAGGTGTGTGCCGCCACTGCCTGGCTCTGTTTCTCTCCTAGACTGAATCAATCTCATGTAGTCCAGGATGGCTTTGAACTCACAGAGATCCAGATGGATCTCTGCCTCCTGAGTGCTAAGATTAAAGGTGTGTGCCACCATTTCCTGGCTTTTATGTTTAATCTTGTGGCTTGTTCTGTTCTCTGATCTTCAGGCAAATTTATTAGGGTATACAATATATCACCACAACTTGAGCCCCTGAACTGTCTCTCCAGCCTCACTCCCCCCCCCAATGCAGAGGAATTGAAATGGAGATTGTGAGCATGCTAAGTAAGAACTCTATAATGGAGTCACATTTCCAGCCCCTTTGACAACATAGTTTATGCCTATATTGTATTTTGTTGTATATTTGTATCATGCTTTATTTAACCCATCCTCTTTTCTTGATATTTAGGATTTAAATTTTTCTCAATTGTAAACAATGCAATCAATTTTATATTAAAACATTTGAAATAACTTATGTTTTTAAATGAGTAATTTTAGTAGAACTTCTGGTTCATAAAAATATACTTTCAAAACATTTTCATATACTTCTAAATTTTCCTTTAGAAAGTATTTTGGCATGGTTCTACCAGCATGAGATTCTGGTGATGTGATTGTATGACTCCTAAATACTGGCCAATGTCATTCTTTTTCCATCATTTCCTTTTTAATAGATAAAGCATGTATTTTACTTAATAATTAGCTTTTGTTACTGGATTGACTATTTGTGAATTTGTTTGTACTAATTATATTTTGGTTGGAGCTATTGTAGTCTGTCCCTCATTTCTATACATTTCAGGTGGTAGGGTCTTACATGTTTTCCTATGCAGTTTGACATGTACATTTTTGCATATGTGAGCACATATACATGCATATATATATTTAGTGCTTTCCAAGCATATATATATATATATATACATATATATATATGCTTGGAAATATGTGTATTTTATATATATATATAAATATATGTGTATTTTATATATATATATTATACACAGGTATATATCTATATCTATATACACACACACACATGTGTATATATATATACATGCATGCTCACCTGTGTATAATATATATCAGGTTTGCTTTCACATGGATTTGCCCTTCTTGGTTTTACTCAGGCCTGTGGAAGTCTACATGAGCCTTAGTTTTGTAATGTGACCTCCAAGTGCTCCTCTTTCTTTCTCTTTAAAGAGAATAACCCACAATCTGGGTGAAATTCTAGTTAATTTTTCATTACATGATTTCAGGAGACAGGGTCAAAAGGAGCTAGTAGGCCATTCAATTATGTGCTTAAGTGTGTTGGAAAATGTTCTTTTTTTTTTTTCCTCCCTCAGGTGTACAATATTTTACTGGGGCTTGTTTTTCAAGTGCACTGAAGTGTGACTAAACATTTTTAGATACTGCCATTTTGTAAAGAAGAGATCCCATCTTGTTAAATATTCCTTCATCAGCTTTATAGTTACCCAGTCACAGGCAGCGAGGGACCTGGGAGGGCAGAGGGAGGGCAGGTGGTTGGCCTGAGGGATCTCAGGATTGGGGTGCTCGGTTGTCCCTCCCACTGCTACTGGAAGAAGTGATTGGTTCAAGCTGATTTCCGTCTCATAATTTTGGATAGGTCATAAGTGAGGAGGAGGGGAAGTCATGAGGTTGGACCTCAGCTCATCTGAGGGCTCAAGGTTCTTTCTCATAAACCACACAAGACTAGACAGCTGAAACAGGTGGAGAACTGAGATACAGATTGGCTCACAGGAGTAGAGAGAGAGGCTTTGGTTTCTCTCTGGCTTTAAGCTGAAGATAAAGGATGTCCACTGACGTTGTGGAAGGGAAACCCAATAATCTCGGGGAGAGAGGAAGAGCTCGAAGCTCCACTTTCCTCAGGGTCTTCCAGCCGATGTTTAACCACAGTATTTTCACTTCTGCAGTCTCCCCCGCCGCAGAACGCATCCGGTTCATCTTGGGAGAGGAAGATGACAGTCCAGCGCCTCCTCAGCTCTTCACCGAACTCGATGAGCTGCTGGCCGTGGATGGGCAGGAGATGGAATGGAAGGAGACGGCAAGGTGAGCCATGGCTGACAGAATGCAGGGCTGGCCTGGGGAAGCAAGAGCAAGGCAAATGGATGAGCCTTAATGCTGAGGGGGTGATGCTGGGTTGAGAAGTGGATAATTCTATTCCTTCTGTCCTGGTACATTAATGAGGATGCAGAGTACCTCTTGCTCACTGCTGGAGCAAATTTTATTAACCAGGGCTGTAGGACTTTGACTTTTGTTGATAAAGAAGTCAATCTCAATTTATAGGCTATTTAATGGTAAAATATAAGGGTGGTAATAAACTCTAGCACCCAAAGGCTGTGGCCAACAAACATGTCTATACATCTCTACATGCAAACATACCTTGTGTGATCTTCTGTGACATTGCCTCTTCCAAGATAGAAGGGGTACTGGCGAGACAATTGTGGTTCTAAGGTATAATTTCAAGTAAAGGCCCTGTTATCTTCTAAATTTTCACCCGAAAGCAAGTGGAAGGTTCATCTGAATTTGGAAGTTAGATATTTCAGTTTAATTCTATACTCTGTCCCATTAGTTACATGACCCTGTTTCTTAGTAGGGTGAATAAGAACACATATTATGTAGACATATAAAATATACACTATATAGATATAATCTGTGGCATGTATAATCATATCACAAACATTTGTGTGGAGATGATTTGTAAATTGTTCAATACTTTGCAAGTTTCTGGGATTTTAGGAGTCACGTCAGAGATTTTCTTTCATAGAGATTTAGTTACATATTCTAGACTAAATCAATCTGCACCTGGAGTCTATTATAAAGCGTCCTCCCAAAGGAGGCTGCTGGAGCAAAGGCTCTTTCCCAATAGCCATTCGTTCCTTTCTTTCTTCATGGAACGAGGCTCACACTCCACAGGTTGGCTTGGCTGTTCCTTAGTCAGCTCAGCACAGTTGGTAGTCTTCCTGAGCCTCAGTTTTCTAGTCTGCCAAGCGAGGCTTTTACAGGATTCCCTCTCCTCTAGTATCACACATATTTTCTTGCTCTAAAATTTCGTTCCTAATGTGTGTGTTCATTTAGTCAGCAGTGCCTCTAACGACTCCTTTGATTCTTCTTTTCCTGTTGAAACATTTGTTAATAGTTATCATTGACAAGAACATAGGGCTGGCTTTGTTTTTTGTTTCTTGTCAAACGTTGGCTACCCATTAATTTACATGACCCCTGGTCTCAGCAAGGTTAAGAAATGACATTTCACTGTATAGAAAACTCAGTGTTGAATGAAATGGTTACAATATTTCCATTTTTGATTTATTTTGGTCCCGGGAGGATGTCAGGTGTCATTCTGTAGCCCAGGCTGGCCTTGAACTCATAGTGATTCTCCTGCTTCAGTCTATTCAGTACTGAGATTACAGGACTGATTTATGATACTTGGTCATATGGGATTCTAAAGACCAACATGGCCTTACTTTCTTTACTATCTTTAAAGTATGTTTTAGGCAAGTTATGTTCCATTTTGGTAATGCAATCTTAAAGGAATGACACTTCTGTAGAGGAAGGGTGTCCAGGAGAAAACTTTGGATAATTTCTCCTATTTAGGGATTATTATGATTATTTCTAATTGCATTTTGATATTGCTTTCCTTATTACATGAATTCATTCAAAGTCAGAGATCGCCCCATACTTCTTACTATATATAGTATTCCCACAGCCTTGAAATACCTGGTTTGCTCATAAATATGTGTTGAATATTTGACTAGTGGAGAACCAATTGCTCTAAAAATGATAGTCATTTTTTTTTAGTTAACATACAAATTAATAGTGTTCATTATGACATTTCCATACTTGTATATAGTTGTATTTTAATAGAAAATAAGTATTTTGAACATAATAGTTATCATCTCTTTCTGCTGTTGTCAGACAGACTCAAGGTACCCAGCACATCAATGCTAAAGCTCAGGAGAGGTCCTGTGCTTCACATTTCAAGCTATTTCGTCAATATGCTGATGGCATCTGAATTTATATCTCTAGGCTTCCTTTCTTATTTAATTGGCATTGAGTAATTGGAGGGATATTAGCAGTCATATCATTAATACATCGAGACCTGCTCCTCCTACAGGTTTCTCCATATCAGTACATAACTTCATTCTCTTGGATACTTCAGCCAGAACACCAGAGTCTTCCTCGTCTCCTACCTTACTTATCCTTGTTTTCTGATCAATTGGCAAATTTGATTTCACCCTCTGAAATACTCAGGTATTTCAGCATCTCACCACATTTCCAGTTCAATACTGCTTCAGGCCTATTTCTGGCTCTGCAAAACCCTTCAATTAGTTGGTCTTCTTATACCTGCCTTTATTTTGTTCATAAACTATCTACCCTGAGTTGCTCGAATAGCCTTCCATCTCTTTTCCTCTAGTTCAGCCTACCAGAGCCCCAGTGGCCAATTGTACTACTCTTTGAGGGACTCTGTACCTACCACCTCTTTGTACTCATGTACCCCTCAGTTATTTACATGATTCACTTGCTTACCTCCTTCAGGTTGGTACTCATATATTACCTGACTTTTGAGCTGAAACATTCACCTATAACACCTATCCCTATTATATTTTTGACCTTTGTACTTATTACTATTTAGTGTATTATCTATCTTGTTTATTATGTCTTCCTGATATAGCTAAATCTCTGAGAGGGTAGGGATTTCACTTACCTTGCTCAGCACCCTGTTCCTTATGCCTAGAACTGTCTGTTGCACAGCCATACTCAAGGATCAGGGTGTGATAGATGAATGTATAGAGAAATGAAATCTTGATTCTCAGTGTGCTGTCCCATCGGAATTCTGTGGAGAGGTTTGGCAGTGATTATGCTTCTGGGAATATTCAGATTGCCAGTAATCTGTACTTCTTGTGACATACACTGCGTCAGAATGCTTTTGTAGTGATGTTTGACTTCCATTTGTGATGTGCATTTTCCAGCCACAAGAAAAATTTCCAACCCCCTATTAAACGGCCTCAGACCTCCCAGATGAATAAAATTTAAGTGCCTAGAAGAGAGTAATTTCATATGTGATGATGTAGCATGGATTATTTTTTTTCTGGCTAACAAATATGTTTGACACTTTTTTTCTTTCCCCTGAAAATTCCAGTTGATAGAGATTTTGTTTGGGCTTTGTGTGGTAGGGTGCTGGGAACCCAGTGTCTCACACACACTAAACACTGCTGAGTTTCATGCACCCCACCAAGCACTGATGGCTGGCAGACAGCTTTATTTCTAAGAGAGCTAACTCTCTAGACTTTTCAAACTCGATGTAGTTTCTGGTGTGGGCCTATATGCCATTATGAACATAATGAACAGATGTCATTACTTTTTTTTTTTTAAGGTTTTGTACTTTTCAGTTGGCTAATGATTTTATTTAACTAAGAATATTCTGTGGCAAGTTTTGGCATGATTGTGATTTGAGTCCCGCTTTAGGAATTTTAGGTTGGTTCTGTTCCTCAAATAATGACAGTTTTTTTTTTTTTTTTTTTTTTTTCAGTAATAGAGAAGATGGCCTTTTTGAGTCTGAGAAAGTAGAGTAGTTATTAACAGCAAGAGAAGCCTTTACTAATGTGGGATTTAAAGTGGCAGTCAGCTCCGTTGTGTCCCGTCCCCCCCCCCCCCCCCGCCATTTTGTCTTTCCTAGAAGGTAAGGTAGAACTTTGAAATTTTCAGTGGCTTTTTCAAAATAGTGCACAAGCTGAAGACGGTGCAGAGGGTACACTTCTCATGCTTGAAAAGTATGTTTGATGGGTGGAAATACAATGTTAGTCTTTTTAAAAATGTTCCTTTGGAATGTGTGGTCATTTGAAAAAAATAACATTGAGTACTACTACAGCAATTAAGATGAATCACTTGAAATGGTGAAGAAGCCTGTACTCCTTAAAAATCCGTTAAAGTGAACTGGGCTTAGTGGTCCATGACTATAATTCTAGTACTGAAGGGGTGGAGTCAAAAGAACCAGAAATTCATATCTGCATAATGAGTTACAGGCCAGCCTGGAATAAATGAGATCCTGTCACAAAACAAAATAAAACAGAACAGAAATCAAAACAAATCAGGATCCCGTTAGAATCAGTTCATAGGTGCAAAAGTAGACCAATTAAGGAATAGCTTCTGGTCTTGCTTTGATGATGGCCCAAAGTCATGAGGACTTTTCTTTCTTCTTCCACTTCTTTATTTGAGTCAAGATTAGTGCTTCCAAAGTGATTCTTCATTTTCAGTTTGTCCTTGGTGAGTTTTCAATGACCAGTGCTGAACATCACCAGTATGGCATGAACATATGTTAAAGATCACCTAGTCTGTGTAATCCAACCTGCATTGCCAAACCTGGTCAAAAAGAAAACCATCACAAGTTCTCAGAAACATTAGCCAACAGAGGAAAAGGGCATCGGTGTGTCATGTCCAGGAACACAACGCAAACTAGTGTTTGTGTTTCTTCTGGGCATGCTGACCCAGCTCACCTCTGGCGGACCTCTTTTAAGGTCATGGCCACAGAACAGCAGCATACACCTTACACTGAGTTTGCCATCTCCCTAACCCGCAATCCTTTGACTTTCTATAGCAGATGACTCTGGGAAGTTCCTCGTTGGATCGAATTTATTTTTTTTTCTGTAAGAAGAAGATGATTTGGGGAATCCAGTCACCTATGTAATTAGATAAAATTATATTTAGATAATTATATGCAATACTTTCCACAATTTATCTAGAAATTTATGAATTCTCCTTAAAATAGCATTTATCCCAGGTACATACTAGCATTGGCTTCTTTTATGTATGATGAAGCATTTTTTAATTAGCAAGAAATTCATTATGATTACATCAGTAGTTTTACACAGTTGGGTTGTATTCTAGTGCAAAGGTCATGAGGATTTTCCACTATGAAACTGGCAGGTTTTAAAGTTAGAGGTCTTGTCTTTACTTAATTATAGTTAATCATATGATTGGAAAGTTGCAAAATTCAGTGATTCCCAGTGGGCCTTCTGTTTCTTCAACAAACGAGTGAAATGCTCTTTGGTTGGCAGCCACTCAAAGTGTATTAAACTGAAGAGTACTTTATCATTATTCTTCTAAGACCTTGGAATAAATAAAATTCACCTCATAAACTGTTCCTCCAAGGGTACAACAGTTTTGTAATTGCATGCATTTAAAAAGCCAATGTCTAAAATTAATTTTCCTGTAGCATGTCACGTACTGAAACAAGAGGGGAAAAAAGCTAGAAATCCATTACAGCTGTGTGGCTATTTCATAGTGATTGTGGAGGGTGGAGGGTGGCTTTCAGGACATGCCACGGTGAAAGTGTCTGTTTTTTAAAAACATAATTACATGGGTCTAAAGTACCTTTGTAAAATGTCTGGTGCTCGGATAGTCTGAACTTTGGTCTCTCTGCCTAAGCCTTCTTTTTAATGGATGTTGATTTGAGTTGAGGAGTGTTGGCTCTTTGTTTTTCAAGTTTGTCCTTGATGTGTGAGGCGGATAGACTGAGCATGAATGCTTTCTGGGATGAAAGTATCTACAGTCCATTTAAGTGATCAAATTGGTATGACCATCCCTTGAGCAATTAGAGCAGTAGATTCATTTGATAGGCTTTACACCCGTTCCTGTATGCTGTTAGCTATGTGATATGCCATCATCACAGCATTCAATATTTATGGAAGATGATGTGAAATAGATGCTAAAATGAGCCACTTCAATCACTTAACACACTTGGAGAGGGGCATAATAGATGTTTCTCATTCTGTTTTGGAATGTGTTTCAACTAGTTCTATGGAAATAAGCTGGGTCCAGTTTTGAAGACTTAGACTCTCCTTGGTGGTGTTGCTGGATTTTAAACTGTTTTTTTTTTTAAATTATTTTGAGAATTTCATACCCACGTACTATATTTACATCATTTCTTCCCCTCCCTTTCCTGCTGCCAACTCTTCCAGTATCTCCCCTTCTCCTTCTCAGCTTCATGACCTTTTTCTGTATATATGAATCCCACCGAGTCCACTTAGCTTTGCTCACATGTTCATATGTTTAGAGCTGACCAATCCCTAGGGACTTTTAAACTCTAGAGGTAGAAAGGTAAACATGGCTGTTTTGGGTGGTAACATTGCTGTATTGGGTGGGTTTAATGCACACGGTAAAGGAGACTCTAATGACTGAGAGGTTGGAGACAGAAGTTACCATTGACATATAGGGGTTGCCTGGCCTGGAGGAACTTCCTGGGAGGAATGTGGAGGGATATGGTCAACACTCCTGAGTCAGATGGGTGTTGGGGGTGATGAGAATCCTAAACTCTTCTCCAACACTGTGGTTGTTCTCTTGATCTGTTCCACTCGTGGTCCTCCTAGTGAGTTTCGTTCCCTTCCCGGGGTTGACAGGAGTTCTATAAATAATACCTTCTGCAGAGCTTCCTCTCACCTCTGCCCTTTGTTCTCATCTGCAGTGAGTTAGGTGAGTGTTTAGCTTGTTCTAGGAAAATGTTTTTCAATCATTAAACCCCTGGGTGAAAAATGTAGGAAAACAGAATTTAACCCCGTCATTACCAGTCCAACATTGTTCAGAGGTTTGATGGGAAAGGCGGAAGAATGTTGGTGATAGCCGTAGTAAGGCATCTGATTTCCTTTAGCTGCTTAGGAGAGTCTCTGTGATATGATACATGTATTATTAAGGCTTCCAAATATGTTCTTTTTTCCCCCTCAAACTTAAAAACAAATGCCTTTGCTTTCTCTGTCTTCAAAATGTCTACATGTCTTAGAAAGCAGAAGCTGTGGATGAGGGCTGTTTGTCCTGATGCAAAGGTTGCTAGAGGATGTGTTATCATCACAGTGAATTTGTGGTCTGCTGGGCTTGCTCATTTTAAAAATGGGGAGCCTGCCTTCAAGGGTAAAAATCACAATTAGCTTCCTAGTGAGAGTGACATACGCCAGCTGAGACAGGGACATCAAACAAAGACATGACAAAGCCTAGTCCTCATTAAGCATCAACAACTGGGCATTTTCCATTTGAGATGAGTATCCGTTCATTGCTGCTCCTCCATCTTACACAAACCTACCTTGTAAGTTCACGACAGACTATCCATAGTGATGCTAGCTTTATAATTACAGGATGGACCTACACGGAGAGTTTTGAGACATATGTTTTTCTCATCTAAAAATCACGTATATAACCATTCCTAGGGATTTCATGGTTTCACGGGGGTCGGAGGTGCTTTGAATTCTTTTCGTCCAGTTTTTCTTAAGAGAAGGAGTGCTCTTGGGATGATGTCTTCCTGAAGATGACAGAGTTGATGACACAATAAAGACTATTAAGACTGCACGAGAGGGGACATGGTGCAAGTGCTGGTGTGGGGGCATGGGCAGGGATTGGTATTACCTTCAGGGAAGGTTGCATGTCTTTTAATTGTCTTCACTCATCACATCTTCCTAGGTGGATTAAGTTTGAAGAAAAAGTGGAGCAGGGTGGGGAACGATGGAGCAAACCCCATGTGGCCACGCTGTCCCTGCACAGCTTGTTCGAGCTGAGGACGTGTATGGAGAAAGGATCCATCATGCTTGACCGGGAGGCATCTTCTCTCCCACAGCTGGTGGGTAAGTATGCCATTTCCGGCTCTTCTTACTGTTCAGGAATGTTCTTTCATGCAGATGCCTACTAGGGTAAGCAGGGTTGAATATTCTCTGTAACGTGTTCTTAGAGTTCTGTGCCATGAAGTGAGTGATTTGTGAAAAATTTGACAAATATTAAGAAAAATAGCATTAAGAAATAATGCCCGTCTCTGGTTACGGTTATTGTTAAAATTTTAGAATAGTTTCTTTCAGATTTCTTTGTCAGTCTTCTCCTTTATGCTTTTCTTTTAGCCTCCATTTTTTATTACAATTAAGATCTTGTTCAATACGCATAAGTGTAGATGTAACCAACCATCTTATTAAATAAGAAACACAGAACCAATGCAAAGAAGAAAGCCAAGAGATCAGAGCTAAGAGCTTTAGCGCCTGCTGCAGCTAGCCTCTTCAGCCAAGAGACCTCTCTGAAAAGAACCTACTTCCTGTGTGTTTGTCTTTATATGGACTTTCTGTTCTGCCTTCTCATTGGTTGTAAACCCAAACACTTGACTGCCTCGTCACTGCCTGTCTGTAGAGACTTTCAGGTCTTCTATGGTTGGTATTGAGATTAAAGGCATGTGTCTTCAATGCTGGCTGTATCCTTGACCACACAGAGATCTACCTAGCTCTGTCTACCAGGTGCTGGGATTAAAGGTGTGCGTCACCACGGCCACGCTCTTGCTATGGCTCTAATAGCTCTGACCCCCAGGCAACTTTATTTATTAACATACAATTAAAATCACATTTCAGTACAAATAAAATACCACCATACATAAGCATATTAACTTTTTTTACTTACTAGCATAAATAACATTTTTTTGTATATACATATGTGTGTGTGTGAGTTCATATGCATACATGTGGATGGGTGGCTGTGTGTACTTTTGTGCATGCATGTATATGTAGGCCAGAGGTAAACCTTGGTTTCATTTCTCAGGAGCCAACCCTTGTTTTTTGAGACAGTATCTCTCCTTGGGCTGAACTCTCTTAGTAGACTAGACAGGTTGGCCAGTGAGCCACAGTAACCCACCTGTCTCTACCTCTCCAGGACTGGTAGTATACACACATGCCATTATGCCTGATTTTTTTTTTAAACATGGGTTCTGGGGATTGAACTCAGGTTCTTATCCTTACATGACAATAACTTACTGAGTCATTACCTCACCCTAGATTAGTATTCTGGAAAAAAAGAACCCTCTCACCCTCCTATCTTAATTGGCTCTCTGGACACTAGGTTTTAAGAATTCTTTGACCCAAGATGTTTCACTGATATTTTCTACACCTCAGTTTTGCTATCTTCAAAACACAGTTTATATCTTACGGAAGAATGAAAATCCTCTACTTCCTTGGCTGGTGTGATGGAACGTGGACGTCAAGTCATTTAGCTGGATGTAGAGAAATGTTGTGGGGAGGATGCTAGCAGGACCTTATGGGCTGGTGACTAAGTCAGTTTATGTTGGCACAGAGTATCATTCTTACCACCGGAGCTTGTGGAGTTTCTCTGTGTGAAATTTTGCCATGTATTCCTTCCACTGAGCGTATGTTTTGCTCTCTATGGAAAAAAAAATCTCTGGAAGGCGTTACATATTAATTCTGTGTGATACTGAGTGGTTTCACAGCAAGAATGCTGAGATTACAGTGGGCAGCTTTTTAAAGTCTTCCTCTGCTAGCATGGATGATCACGGTCAAAACACGTTCCTTGCCATTCCTGCTGACTTGGTTTCCTCATGATACTGTGAGGGCAGTAAATTTAGGTGCACGCCCGAATTCCCCTTCCTGATGCTATGATAAAATACCCCGATTAAAGCGATTTAGGGGAAAAAGGTTTACTTTCTTGTGATTCTGGGCTATAGTCCATCATGACTGGAAAGTCACAAAGGCAGAGCCTTAGAGAACTGTTCATATTACATCCATCTTTAGGAATGGAGAGGGATACATGGATGCTTGTGCTCAGCTTGCCTTTTTCTTGCCTAGTCCTGGACCCAAATCCACTGAATGGTGCTGTCTGCTTTTAGGCTGGGACTTGCCATATCAGTGAAGGTAATAGAAACTGTCTTCTACAGATGTGTCTTTCCACAGGCTAACCTAATCTAGGGAGTCCCTGCTAAAGATGCCCATCCCAGGTGACTCTAGACTGTGTCATGTTGACAATGGAAAGCGACCATCACAGTGGGCCTTTCAGAGTTGTTAGGTGAATTAAGTAAGGTCACCAGACACCCTGGGTTCATACTGTCCCCCAACATAATTAGCTATCTAGATTTTCCTACGTGTCATGTACTAGACTACTACTTGAAGTCTGATTTGAATCTGGCAGATAGATGCTTGGGGATTTCATAAGCAGAAGGAAAAATTCCAAAGAGTATGGACTGAAGAGATGGGAAGTATTAGAAAATTCATTCATTCATTCATTCATTCATTCATTCATTCATTCATTTATTTATTTATTTATTTATTTATTTATTTATTTATTTATTTATTTTTTTGGTTTTTTGAGACAGGGTTTCTCAGTGTAGCTTTGCGCCTTTCCTGGAACTCACGTGGTAGCCCAGGCTGGCCTCGAACTCACAGAGATCCGCCTGCCTCTGCCTCCCGAGGGCTGGGATTAAAGGTGTGCGCCACCACTGCCTGGCTCATTCATTTATTTATTAATCCATTTGTTTGTTCATTTATTTATACATTTTTTTGCTGGCCTTGGAGATGATCAACAGGGTGATGAGTTTCTTTTTCTGCACAGCTGAACTTTTCTGCAAAGCTGTCTTTGTGTGATCTCCAGCTCCTGAACTACCTTAAAGAGTGTCTGGGCTCTAGCACCTCCTTGACTCTGCGTACATAGCAGAAGACAGAGTCCCACATTCATTCAGACCCTCTTTACCCAATGACCAAAAAGAGAAGATCTGACATCTACTATATTTAAAGAAGATTAATTGAGCATTTGATGTTCTTGCTTAATATCCCATAACTTTTTATTATTGGCTTCAGACTCTTTTCTAACCTCTGTGCATTTCCTTTAAACACTGTCATTTCATGTTAAAATTAGACACCACTAGGTCACTTTGAGGTATCATCACTCCCTAATATGTTTACTTCACAGTCCCTGGGGCAAGGAGGCAGAATGCCAGTGCTATCGTTTTGGCACTGATAATACAAAAAAAAAAAAAAAAAAAAAAAGTTTAGAGGCAAACCACACATCATGAGCAAAAGAAAGGAGGAAAAAAGACCAGCAATGCAGAAGAGAAAGCAGAGCTTGCTTAAAAGAGTGTCACTCAATAAAGAAACGAAAATCCTCCAACAGAATAAAAACCTATGGAGGATAAAATAAAAATAGTGCAAAGCCTTTATTTCGTTTGAATGACAGAAGGCAGCATAGTAATTTGAAGAGTTATAATGATTATTTTGTTATTAGGAAAATCTTTTCCTAGCGGAGGATAAAGTAAAGTTGCATACGCCAATAATGCTCAACTGATAGTTACATGCTCCTAAATCTCGTGTTGTATTTCTTCCCAATAGCCCAATTTTGCTTCAGAAAATGGAAAGAAAAAAGAAATAATAGCAAATGTAATTATACCCAACAAATAGTAGGATGATTTCCAGCCGTCTTTGTGGGCTTACTGTTGCTCCTCCTCATCTGCCCCTGAGAGAACGATCACTGCAGGTCATAGGCAATGGCACGAGGCTGGCCTGGGCATGAGCTGTGGTCAGGCGGGATTCTTACATTGAGATCAGCTTATTTCTGATTCTTTTCGGGACCTCTCTGTGCTTTTAATTTTGTGTGTGTGTGAGTGTGTGTCTGTGTGTGCGGAATCCCTACTGTATTTTAATAGAAAAATTTGTCTTTGAAGCATTACAGAAGACAAGACATAATTTTCAGGGATTATTTTAATAGGTTTATTATTAGCATCACCATTGTAATCCTACATTTAAAGGGTGTCATTCACACATGAAGTCAAGTTCATGGAATTTTCTTCCACTCTTAAGTTAAAAAAACCTGTAATCCATTTTAGGTATTTAGCACAATGTGAAATGGATGAGAAAAATGTAGCTCTATTTTTGGAACTCATACATACATACATACATACACCCTGAGCTCTGCAGATGTGTGAGTCCTAATGTTTCTTGCTTTTTTTTAAAAAAAACCCACCATTGATACTTTTAAAATTTATATTTATTGTTCTTTATAATCATAAGATTAATATATATTCATTTAAAAATAATTCATAAAAATTTTACTAAAAAAATAAAACCTCTAATTTTACCATAAAAGTAAAACATTTCCTAATCTAATTTTGTGTATCATCTTAACATCATTTTTTCTATGTAACTCTGTTTATGTACATAAAATGGAATTATAGCACATCATGGTGTGTGCATGTGAGTGTGTGAGTATATGGGTACATGCACTTGTGTAGACTAGGGGTTGTGTGTCTTCTTCTTCAGTCTTGGTCTTATTGCCTTGAGACAAGCTCCCTCACTCACCCTGAAGATCTCCTTCTCAGATAGGCTGAGTGGCTAGTGAGCTCACAAGGTCTGTCTGTGTCTGCCTCATAACGCTGGGGTTATAGACCTGCACAGTCATGCTAGACATTTTACATGGGTGCCAGGACTTGATCTCACATCCTCATGCATGCAAAGCAAGTATTCTTATCTGCTGAGCCATCTCTCCAGCCCCGTGGTTCATCGTTTCAATTTATATTTGCTTACAGATAAAAAAATAAATATCGATATTTTCATGTTGTTCTATAAAAACATAAAGGCTGTAAAATAATCTATTAGGTATTTGGGTGGCCTTTTAGGTTTTATTATAAAGAAAAGTGCATATTTTTGTTAGACTTTTGCAAAATTGTCTGGTTAGTATAGAGTTCCAGCTGTAGAAGATTCAAAAGTTTTGATCATATTGAAAGGTTTTGGTGTGGCTAGTCAACACTGGCATCATCAGGGAATAGAACATGCATCTTTCACACTGGGATAAATGATTTTGATAGACCTAACAAATGTCTTTATTGGGTATATTCACATATATTTATTTACATTATCTTTGTTAATTTTGAAGTTAAAAACTATCCTTTTTCTGAATGCTCACTTGTCCTCTCGTCTGTTTTCCATAGTTTGGCCGCCTTTCTGTTTGCAAAAGCTCTGCATGTGTTGCTTTTTCTCTGCCTAGCGCTTGATTTTAAAATATATATATATATATAAATATCTTTGACTTTTCTGAGGTAGAGCCTGGCTATGCAGCCCAGGCTCAAGCTAGCTTTGAACTCACTTTGCAGCTCATGCTGCCAGGAACTCACAGTCTTTCTGTTTCAGCTTCCCGAGTGTGTTAGCATCACAGTCATGCCCAAGTGTGCCTGGTGGGCTTACTTTTTTTTTTTTTTTTTTTTTTATTTTTCGAGACAGGGTTTCTCTGTGTAGCTTTGTGCCTTTCCTGGAACTCACTTTGGAGAACAGGCTGGCTTCAAACTCACAGAGATCCGTCTGCCTCTGCCTCCCGAGTGCTGGGATTAAAGGCGTGCGCCACCACCGCCCGGCTGTGGGCTTACTTTTTAAATATGGACAATACTGTGTCCGATGGAGAAAGATCTCAGATGTGCACCAGCAGCTCCGCTTTTAGCAGGGCTTCTTCCTCTAATGAGTCTGTATGGGGAGGAGCCGTCATTTTTTTCCTCCTCTTTCTCATCTGTGTAACAAGCTGAACTTGGTGCTCCCCAAGGCCTCTTTCAATTGTTATCACCTAGACTTGGCTCATCTTCTCCCAGTTGGTAGTGTCTGTGGGATCTGCTCAACCAAACTCTTCATTTCAGTGTAGTTGTGAAAGTTACTGCCCCCACTTTCCTTTGAAAGGTTTTTGTAGTGGATGCTTAAAGAGATCCTATTAGGTGGACCACTTTTTATGGATGCTTGATGAAGGGCATAAGCTACACAGATGTTTCAACCTGTCTAACTAGTGATTCCCAAGCATTAGTTAACAGAGGGTCAGCTGTGCATGCCCATGCATTGAGAAGCCTTGCCAGGAAGGCTAGAGAAGAAATACTTTAATCCACAGCCCTGGCATCAGAAGGAGAATTTGATGACACTTGCGGCAGATAGGTTGGGGACTGTTATTTTTGTGGTTCTTCCGCAAATGGACTTTCCACGTGGAATGGGACTTATAGGGAAAGTCGAGGGTTGTGCCTGGAGGCACTTAGTGACTTACCTGTGGAACAGAGAACTAATTGTACTTCCAGGGTCATTCTCCGGCTTTTACTGAGTGGGGTTTGTGTGGTTAAAAATGCCCAAAGCTGAAGGCCACTTTCAAATCCAAACGCTCACCAGAGAAACTTCCTGCCTCCTCCAGTCCCTTACCAAGTGGTTCACATCCTGCACATTTAGGACCTCTGTGCTAGGCCAATGATGGACAATCTTTGATTTAGCCTCTTCATGCCTTACAAGTGACTGGCTGTCCACTCTGTAAATTGATGGCTTCTAGATGTAGACTGTGAGGCAGAATGTTCTATTGAAGATGGACCAATAATACTAGTGCAGAGAGGCGCCAGCAAGGTCCTAGGGACACCTGTACCTTCTCTTCAGTGCAGGATTCCTTAGGATTCTCTGTTGTCCGGCTGATTTTCCTGTCAGACTTTTGCCTAAGAGCAGACTTTGCTCCCTTGTGTACTTCCCTACCCCGAGTAGTTTCCTCAGAGGAAGATACGCCGTGAAATGCCTTGCCTCGCACACCTCATACAGATTCTGCAACGTGTCTCTGGGAGTGGAGGCAGAGGTTAGAATAAGATGCACAGGTTCAATGTATGCTGCAGATGTGCTTGCCTGTGAGAAAGAAGGATTATTTTCTATCAGAAGATGATTTGGTGCGTTCGTGCGTGCGTTCGTGCGTGCGTGTGTGTGTGTGTGTGTGTGTGTGTGTGTGTGTGTGTGTAGGCCAGAGTTGCTGTTGGGTGTCTTTTTAATTGCTAGCCCCCTCCTTTTTTGAGATAACATCCCTCACTGAACCTGGTGGACTCCAGGGCTTGGCCTGTCTTCACTACACTCCCTCCTGCAGGAGGTTACAGGTGGATAGCACTGTGGCCAGCTCTTTATGTGAGTGCTGTGGATCCAGACTCACGCCCTCCTGCTTGCCCAGCAAAGCCCTTTACCTCCTTAGCCATCTCCCTGGCCCCCAAAGCCAAACAGTAAAGAGTTAATAGAAAGACTAAGATACTTAAACCTTTTATAAAAGGGTTAGTCAGGCTGTGTTTGAAAACCGTCAGTGGAGTAGGCTGGCAAAGGTTTTAGTTGGGGTGGACCAGGAAGATTAAGTCTACCATCTCCGAAAAGACTAGGGTATAACTTCGTAGCTTGATCTTTCCTTCAGTAGTTGTTCAAATGGTCTGATATTGGGAAAGGTATTTTAAAGAAAATATAACTTAGAAGAACTGAAGAGAGAGACTTTAACAATCACTCCTTGTGTTTGTACAACTTATTTTGTTTCATACCTTTGATACTTCTGATTATGTAATGTAGTGGGAGTTCTAATTGATCTTAATAATAAAAACCTGGAGTCAGATATCGGGGTGAAAGCTGAAAGATCAGAGAAGCAGAGCAGCCAGCCACTAGAGAGACTTCTTACCTCTAGGAATCTTCAGACTGAAGGGGCCGAGCTCCTGTCTCCACCCCACCTTATCACCTCCTCTCTCAGCCCAGCCATAATCACTTCCTGTTTCCTCTTCCCAAGTGCTGCTGGAATTAAAGGCGTGTGCCTCCCAAGTACTGGGATCAAAGGCATGAGATCCCAAGTGCTGGGATTAAAGGTGTGTGCCACCACTGCCTGGCCTCTAGTGGTTAGCTCTGCGCTTTGATTTCCAGGCAAGATTTATTTGTTAGAGCACAAACCAAATATCACCACAATGTAGTGCAGGGCATGGAAATTTGAACCTCATTTTTTTACACTGAAAAATGAAAATTACTGACTAATTGTGTTGCTCATAGAAATGTTGATTTAGGGGATTATTAAATAACTGTAATATTAAAAAATAAAAAAGGGGGGGAATAAAGAAATTAAGATAGTTCTACCTTTCTAAAGACAATTAATGCTGGAATATTTATAATTCCCTCATTAATGCCAGCATTCTGTCCCTTCATATAAAGTGGGAAGTTGCCTTTGAGAAAGTAATGCATTGATGTTAAATTTGGTGGTGACACCCACAAAGCTAGAGTGAAAATTAGCTTCATGGTTTGGTGTCTGACTTTTGCTTCTCTTTGCTTTCATATCAGAGATGATTGCTGACCACCAGATCGAGACAGGCCTTTTGAAGCCAGACCTTAAGGATAAGGTCACATACACTTTGCTCCGGAAACACCGACATCAAACCAAGAAATCCAACCTTCGGTCCCTGGCTGACATCGGGAAGACTGTCTCCAGTGCAAGTAGGATGTTTACCAACCCTGACAATGGTAATGCAAAGCCAGCTGGCCGCTGCTTCCTCTTCACGTGTCACTCACCTTTACTCCATCTCTTGGGATCCTTTCTTCCTCCTCTGTATATGTCTTTTCTCAAGGTCACATGCCGTGGTCATCTCATGATCCTTTTAATACACTTGGGCAGGTGTGCAGTCTTGCTGGAAAGGTTTCACTGTTGCTCTAGGTTACAAAGCCACAGTGCCTGGCTTCCCCCGTGTGTGTCTATGCTGATGGGCTGAAATGACTGGTTAAATAACTCTGTGGTGAAACAACTGAGTATTCCAGATGAATCAGCAAGCTTGCAGGTAATATTGAGTACCTCAGGGAGTATGTCTTCAAGATGACTTGCAGCAACTAGGAGAATCTAATAAGAGATGATAAATGCTTTGAAATAGCATATAACGACATTGTTGCTTAAGGATGGGAGTCTAAGATTGCTCCTAATCTGTGAGTGCTCCTCTTACTAGTATATGCCTCAGTATTGTTTTCACCACTTGAAAAGGCAGTTGATTTCTTGATAAATAATGATTATATTCAGATAGAAGTATAATCATTCAAAACGGGATATTAATTCATTATATAACAATAGGAAAGGTACTATGTTCTTGTTATATTTATTGTATTGCACTTACCACAATTTCTTGCAGAGTGTCTATCTTTGATATCATTCTCATCATTGGAAATAAATTTCATGTTTGGCTGCAGTCTCAGAAGGGTGAAACAAGTTTCCATGAAGTGTGGGAAATGACAGTGTGGTGGGCAAAGCCCAGCAAGCATTGGGTTGGCAGAACCAGGTCTAGATTCTATTACCATCGTGTCTTCTGAATACCAAGAGAGTGAGGGAGATTGTAACTCCGTGGAGTGACCTGTGCTTTCATATTATTATAGAATGTATTCTCAGGCAAAAGGCAGGTTAAAATGATGGTAGAAAGTGAGTTTGATCCCAGCCACTCCATATCCATAAATGTGAGTTTTCTCACTTAATATCAAAAGCCAGTGATTTGGAGACAGATTACTATAAACAAAATCCCAAACTGTCTGTAAAATAATTAAGATATGAATGCTTTCAATAAAATCTATTCAGGAGAGAGAGGGAGAGGGAGTGTAATTTAGAATACTTTGCTGTCATTTGGTGCTTCTGCTGTTACTGGGAACATTGCTGTTGACAGAGATGTCTTCGGTTTTATATGCCTGTTGTTTTATTTCTGAAGAAAGGGTTGTTCAGTGGCTGGCAGTGCCATTGCTTGAGCAGGGTGCTTTAGTTCATCTTACAAGCATTTCATTGTAACCAGCACACATATTTGCAATTATGGCAGTTAAATTTCAGATCTCTCTCTCTTTTTTTTTTAAATCTCAGACAATAATCTTCCTCATTAAAAAAAAAAAAGTGATTCTGAGAGTTAGAGGTTTTACTTGCTTTAAACCATTGTATTAATAGTAGTTCATAGAGGTAAGAGCATGCACCATGTTCACATGTTGCATGAGAGATGGCTGTGGCTGCCAGGATGCTCTCTTCCCAGAAGGGTAAGCTGCCTTTTCTTGCACTAGAGCAGAAACTAGGCACAGATGGGTCTTAGTGGCCTTCCTTTTGGAGGAGCTATGAATGAACTGAGATTGCTCCTTCTCCAACTCTTCTTCCTCTACTCTTGTTCTGCTGAGGAGGTTGAACTTGCCTTCATCATTCACTCTCATTTGTACAATGCTGTACACACAGGGCAGAAAGCACATGGGAAAAGGCAGGAGCTTCCTTTTTTTTTTTTTTTTTTTTTTTTGGCTCTTCAAATGATCAGCCTACACCCTGAAGCATAGGATATGATTAGTTTGTTTCAAACGTGTTATTATTGGCCTTTGTGTTACCTAACTCTTTAAATATCACAGGCAAGATTTGGCTTTGCGAGATCCTACAGCAATGAGTTACATGTGCCTCCAAGGTACACGATCATAAATCATGGGATGGCAAGTTTTTGGCTTTCTACAGGTGCTTGTTCCTAACCTGCAAGTTTGCACAGTTACTTTTATGTCTTAGGGCTTAATCACTTAATATACCTAAGAACTACGTAATGTTCTTTGAATAAACATCTAAAGTAAGGAATTATATACCCGTCACTACTCTTTTAATAAACAAGAATCTTAGGTCGACTGTAGTTGGAGCTGGGCTGTAATAGTTTTTCTCATGAAAAGCCTAGATAAATGTAATCACTTTAGCCTTAAATATAGAAGTAGACCCTGTGACAGAGACTGCTTTGCCTATGCGAGCAGCAGCATGACAGATAGCTGAATGGCATCATGATGCTGAAGTCAGGGATTGTTTTAGTTCCCAGTCATGTCCTAGAGTCAGCTCTCATCTACTCACAAGATCCCACTGTGAGGGGGGGATTCTGCAAGCAGTTCGTTCTATTCAACAACTGTTAAATCCCATTAGCATTCAATTAAATAACTATATTAAAAACAATGACAACACATACTCAAAATGCACGACTTCCTGCTTGTTCCAGGACAGTTTACTATAATCTGTGCACGTGAGGTGATTTCCACCTGTGTGTGAGTGTGCAAATACTATAAAATGACTGCTATCATGCATTGGGTCTGCAGCTGGTTCCATCATGCCCTGGGTTCCAGTGTTGACTCCAATGGCTTCAAGTAAGCAGCTGAAATCTGCGACAAGGGTGGTGTTCTCACTGTAGAGATCAGCAAGTGCTGCAGACCACGACTTGCTTTATTATTGTTCCAGTTGTTTCTAAATTAAAAAAAAAAAAGATGGAGAAAATACTAATAATGCAGGTTAAGCTCAAAGCATGTAATTACTGCATACAGCTTCTAAAACACAATCCCCTTAAGATTGAAAAGATTTTTTTTTTGGTAGTTAAAACTCCTATTTGATTTAGTAGAGGACTGATTGAAACACCACTGACAAATAATGAAACTTGAAACATGTATTTATTGTTTTGTTTTTGTCTTATTAACATACATAATATTATAATCAAACATTTAGCCTGATTCACATTATGAATTCCCTTCCTTCCATTTTTTGGTTCATTATCATGAACTCATTTTCAATTGGTAAAAAGCTACTTATTTTTTCTTAGTAAAGAATTAGAAAAATGGTGTAGTCCATTTTTTTTGCCTGTAAAATAGAAATAATGAAAAATTAAAAAAGATGTGAATGTTTCGAGCGGTAACTGGCACTTAGTAATCACTCAACAAATGCATAGGCGAGCTGTCTAAGCACAACTATGCAATATAGACTTCAGCGTAATAGGCCTGTCTTCTGGACCATTTGCTTCAGTGGCTTCCTCTTCAGGAAGAAAACCATAGAAATAATTTTTATGTATTTCTTCAGACTTTTTGGTGAGTGGTGTCAACACCCATTGTGTAACAATGGGAGAGGAAAGAGGCCGTTTCTCCTCACAGTCTGAAACCTTCCTTACTTTTGGTTAAATGGCTATAAGAGGAATCCTGATCCACCTTGGGCACCCAAGGCTATGGCCAAGTACTGTGTCAGGCAGTGAGCAGTTGGGCAAGGTGGTATCTCCAAGCAGGGCAGCTGGCTCCTGGGGCTCACATAGCTTTCCTTAGATTTTCTGTGGTACCCCAGGGCCTCTTCTATATTTATAGTGGTCCATGACCAACTACTACTTAGCACACCACTGGGTTTCAGCTTCAATTCACTGCCTTTACCACCCTCCCCTTTACCCAGGTATACAAAATGTAATCAACGGGCTTGTACAACTTGGTGCAGTCTTGGCTTCTATATCCAGACTCCTCTTTCAAGGGTTTCTAACAGTCAGGAAGCTGATACCTAGTTCTTTCCCATGTAGCGGCTTAGGTGTGAGCACAGAAAAGCTTGGGATATTAAAAAGCCATGTGTTGTTATTACGTAGTAGAACCCGGGCAGTGTTCACAGGGCAGAATGATCAATAGGAAGAAATCATGGTATTTGCTGTTGTTGCTAATAGGAGTTCTAGGATCCAGAGAAGTAGAGGTGGGATTAGTCAGACCCTTATTGCTTTGAATCTGACTTGAGCTCAGGCCCGCTTGAGCTATGTGGTGTGAATAATAGATCAGGCTGCCTTGACACTGGGGTGAATTAGATCCGGCTGGGACTACAGCCAAGTCTGGCAGCTTTCTCCGTCCCTTTAGCAATGCTTTAGCTTTGCTTTTGGTCTGGGCTTTGGATTCTAGTTTCCCCAGTGGTCTTTAGGTGCATTGTTCCACTTCCCACCTTCCTCCATCATATTTTTGAATCCAGGCGTGATCCCTGTAGCAGTAAATAGGGCAAGCACTTCCCTAAACTCCCTCAAAGATTCTGCTCCTCCGAAGCAGGCTTCAGGCTTCTCCAGTTCTGAGGTGGTCAGGTGGCATCTTTTATCCTTAGGCATGCATCTCTTTCTGATGAGCATGCCATTCCAGGTGCCTTCTGAATGCAGCCAGCTCCTTCCAAAGCCCAGCAGCACATAGCCATCTGTTTTGTTCTGGACGCTCATTCTCTATGCATTTGCAGAGCACAGATGCATGTCTTGGCCAGAGCTCAACGAAACGACGCTCTTCCCAACCTGATGATAAACAAGGCAATCCACGGAGAGTTGCTAACAAAGTATCTGAATGAAGTCGCCTGCTAATGACAGTGGCTACGGTGGCCAATCCTGGTAATCTATTTCTAACTCATCCATAAGACACGAATCTTTCTGCTTCTCCCCAGGTCTTCCAGATCTGTCATGTTCAAACTTCCATCATCCCATTCTAGCACTTCCTAGTCCATCCTACACTTTATGACAATGAGACAATGACAGGTTAGGTTTATGAGTAGAACACAGTGAATCTTTAGGCCTATTCAAGGTCTGTTTCATAATCTTCTTGAAGATACGATGCCATCTCTTCCAAAGGCTTTATTCCAGTCCTCAATCATATTTAGTAGACACATGATTTTGAGAGTTAAGTAATCACCTTGAGTCTTGTTATGTCTGCAACATAAGAGTAATTGTGTGTTGTTATTC